GCGCTGCTCGATGGGTGTAAATGTTTTATCAAGAGTCTGCTCTCTCTCTTCCTTTGTGTCATTGATGTAAGCGCCATGTTAAGCTGCTTGAAAGTGTGTGGGGGGGGACACCTCAGCAATGGGGATTTGGTTTTTTTGAGCTGTTTATTTTCCTGCACGGTAGGATTGCGCTGCAGCAACAGAGATATACCTGGTTACAGAGACAGGGAACATAGATCAAAAGCATGTTCTGCTTAGAGAAGACAAGCACGCCAGCTTTATCCCGCACTGCCAGTTTTCACTAAGGCAGAAAAGCCCTTGGAAGCACCATAACGGGGGGCTGGGAGCCCTCGGATGATTCCATCGCTGCCCCGGCCGCTGATAAAACATGATCATCCACACTGAAGGTGATCAAAACGCATTTTGATCACCTTCTCCTGCTGCAGCCGAGGAGCATTCGGGCGGCGACGGACAGAATCCCGTCTCCGGGCAACGTCGATAGCTACGAAAAAAATTAATGTCGAGACGGATCCATAGCGGGGCGAATCAATGGGGGACAATTCCATGCTCCACCTCACCGACAGCATCAGCGTTTATCTCGTTATTTGGATCTCCCCGCTGCTTACATAAAACAATCAAATATTTATGCACGCGAGCAGCAAATCGCTTCGCATTGTGCAAGAAAATAGAAAGCTGTTATTGTACCTGCGCCATTGACTTTCAAACGGCAAGTAAGACACAAATCCTCCCTTTGCAGGGCGTAGCCATGTCTGGAGAGATTATGAGGAACAAAGGGGCCGACGGATGGTTTTAAAAGGCCGCTCGTTTCAGTTTTGGAGCAACGGACCTTAATTGACCTGATTTTCGCATCAATAATACAAGTTTTAATAAGTTGTGGCTCCATTTGAGGCATTTCATGGTCGTATGAAACATACATTCTCGAGGCCGTGATGTAATCCCAGAAATCGTTATCCATACAGTCCAACTGAACTAGAGGAGATCTGCACATTTGACCTGACATGATACAAAAAAAACAATAATGTGTTAGCCAAAATGCCTCCCATTCAGTTGTCTCATGCATACCTGCATCCGTACATCATGTCTGTGTCTTTAATTGTTAGTGAGCGGCGTTCCACTGGTGCAGTGTAATGTGTCCTGGGTATTCTCTGCACGTGGCTCCAGTTAAATGTGAATGTGAGCCGGTCCCGAACATCTGTCAAAGATTAGCAGTAAAGTGAAATAGGCAGTTCCCGCTCATACATTCCAAAATAATCTGGCAGTAATTTTCCCAGTAGAGGATGAAAAAAGGAGAGGGGGGGGGGGGGGGTGCGTCGGTCACAAACCCAGCTCTGTCAAGGAATGCGTCTTTTGTTTTACGAGACGTGAGCGTCAAAAAATAAGGCCCCTGCTTGGATGTCATGAGTGTGTCAGCAACACACCGGGAGAACTTAAAGAAACATTCAAACCAAGACCAATTGGATTCGAGAACGCATGCGCGCCCCGTTGTTCTTCACCTTGGACGTCTTGTAAAAAAAAAATCCCCCTGCGTGGTCCCTCGAGTAGTAGGAATGAAATCACTTACAGCACAAAGCAGCTACACTCTCACCTACAAACACTCTTGTTCGAAGCACGCCATCCGCCGTGCTGCGACAGGAAAGGGAAAAAAAGAGAAAAGCGTCTGACTAAAAGCACTAAAATCAATGAAACATGAAGAATCCCTCAGGTACAGAAAGAGGACGCTTTGTTATTCAAGGAAGCGCGCTGTCATTCAAAGGCTGTGCACATCCGCTGGAAAATGCTTCCGAGGCAAATCAGCGTTTGTTAACGATACGGGTCAATTGTTCTGAGGACGGCTTGACCCCTGCGCCCCGTCCGGGGGGGCCTCTTCGGTGGAGGTTTCGTGTTCGCATTGTGCCCCGTCCTTGCCCGCATCGTTCGCATTTGGCCACTTTTGCTTTGAGCAATAAAATCCTCTCTTGACGGAGTTGTGTTTACTCTTTGTGCTGCACGTCGAATCGCTGACATTGTAGGTGGGAGTCAGTTCACTATCTGGAGCGCTGCACCGCTAGCTATTTGCTATTCTCCCCCTGACAGCCGTATCTTCACTGCACTCCACCTCCTATAGCTACAGGATACTGATGCATTGCACTGGGAAGTGGAAATATCTTTGCATCACGTTCAAGTAAACTCCTGTAAATGAGTCATTTAAAGGGCCACGCGTCTGCAATGTGAGATGAAGGTGAACTCCCTCCGAACCGAACCGACGCACGCTCTGAACGCGGCGCACGTCTGCGTCCCCGCAAAGCACATCTGCCAAAACCGCCGCACGATCTGGAAAAACCCAAACATATCCGTAGCTGAGCGGTGCTGAACGGATGCCACGTGACAACGCGGAAGAATAACAGGCATCAAAGCGAAGACTGAATGTATGGTAACTAGACGTCAAATATCGAAACGTCTCCGGCTTTGCAGGAACGTCGGGAGTCTTTGGACGGTTGTGCGTGTGCATGTGTGTGTGTGTGTGTGTGTGGGTGTGATTCAGGCGCAAACACATCAAGATGTCACTTCATAACCTCTGGCTCAGGAGGCTCCTGTCATCTTCACATTTCAGAGATCCTCTGCCTCCCCCGGCAGACATGCTAAATTTAGAATGGGGACAGAGTTTCTGTTTGGAGCCACTGCTCTCTTTACATCCAACACTAGCAGGCGTGCACAGGCGCCCGCGTCCCCTCCCCTGTCGTACGCATGCGCGCACGTGGACACGCGGGCGTCCGCACTGCCGGCGACGTTGAGACGCGATTCCAATCATCGGTCGACATGCCGTCGTCTCGCGGATTGAACTGTGCAGAGGTTTTTTCGGCTCCCGGCTCATTCTCTCCGAGTCACTTGCGCCATGTTATTACTTCTTGGACAGTCATTTTCTAAATCCCCTCGTTCCCAATCGTTTAATTGTTTCACAAGGACGGACGGGCGATCCATCGCCGGCGTCCTTCACCTGGGCGGACCTGCCACGGGCTTCCTCGAGTCACTCTCTTTGACCTTGTTCTGTTTCTCACTCGGTATCGAGCAACGGAACTCCCCGTGGCAATTAATTGTGCTACTTATCTGTAATGTGAACAGTGGATATTACATCTCCAGCCGATATTAAATTAAGGATGTCTCAGGACTTGCGAGGCCACAGCCAAATAAAAAGGAAATGAGCCCCTATTAATGACCATCGATTCTTTTATAATAAAATATCCACTTCCTCTCTTTGCGTGGCCTCGGCGTTGATCTTGAACTAATGGGCTCTATAGCTTTTTGGGGAGATGTCCTTCAGTCCTGAACAAGCTACATCTCCCCTGGTTGGGTTGAAAACGCCTTTTTTTTCTCGTCTGACTGGCAAATCAGACGAGATGTGCCGCACAGCACATTGAGCCTGGCGGTATCCTTTTCAGCTGCTTGGTTTCATGTAGGAATATCTCGTGACATTACAGGGGGAAGTAAAAAAAAAAAACGCCTCACTATGGCAACAACAAGCCGTCTCGTACTGGCCGGCTGATGGCTATTTAAGGAAAAGTGCACCATCATTATAAATAATAAGGAAATGAAAACGCTGCTGTATGATTCCAGGTTAATGTGTTCTACTTAGCATTACTGGCTCGGCCGTAGCAGCTAATAATTGGTCCTATTTATTTACCGCCTATTTAGATCATCTCGATGCTCAGCCTGTTGTTGAATACAGGCAGGTTGAGGAGCCGAGGCGGATGTGCATCATGCTTTGTAGTGTCCACGGTCAAATCAGCTGCTTTCCACAGGAGCCAAGCACCACTGAGGACACACCGTGGATTCACTGGTTGACAAATGTAAAGCTCATAGTGGCAAATAGTATCCGGGTGCATTCATTTTCTTTACCGGACTGGAGCCTTACCCAGAATGCATTGGGCATGGGGACATCAAACTCTGCAGGCGTCCAGGAAGAGCCACGCCGTTTGTCTAAAACTGAAATGTGACTCACCGACGATTCCTTCTATAACCCCAACAAGCAGCGAGCGCCGCTCAGAACCGGAGCACGACTTTTGGAATCAAACCAGAGCGGGCGGGCTGCCAGCTCTCGGGGGGTCGCCTTTTCCACCACGGCTACTTCCTAACTTTTTCCAACCAAGTAGCCCCGTTTATAAGTCACTTGAGATTGGAAACAGGCTTTTTGGAAAACTCCGGTTGAAGCACAGTTCCACGCAGCTACACGCTGGGGATTTCACTGCAGGTGATGAGACAGCAGAAACCTCCTACTGGAGGTCCTTTTCCTCACAGCGCCACCGTAACTTCCAGGCAGCGGAGTCGCAGTGGAATCAAACAATCCCCCAATTCGGCTCTCAACCTGGAATGTGGCTTTGAAACAATAAGAGGTGTGATCCTTAAACAGCATCAGCAGAAGTGGAGGTGATGACATGAACGGACAGACGGCTCCTCGTTTCAGGATCATCAGACAAAAAGACAAATTTCAGCACTGCTTTTAACATCACTGAACAATGGCGTATGGAAAATATCTCCCCTTGTGGGCTCCTCAATTCTAATATTTCTTTGTGAGGTCTTTTGTCTGTCTTTGAGGAGATGCTGGTCAACAGATCTGGATCTACAGGGAGGGGTCAGGTGAACTTTTGTCCCTTTTAATTCACACAAGTAAAGCAGCTTGAGGAAACCGTGCTTAACTTGTGCGTCCCGGTGTTTTTTTTTCTTCTTTTTCTTTAAATATGTCTAAATATAAAGCGTAATGTCTCAACAAATGGGCATTTTAAAGCACGAGGCTGAAAATGAAATGAAAAAAAAAATTAATATAATATGACATCATTCTCATTCCAGGCTGAAGTCATTTGCCAGATGTGTTGTTAGGGACGTTCTAAACAATAGAAACACACTCGGCGCAACACAACAACGACACCCATTGGAGTCCAACGCCGTGCGCGGCATTTTGGGGGAGACGAGCACGCTCCCTAAACGGACGCATTCCCCCTTTTTGACAGCGACGGCAAGTGACTTACCCAGAAACAAAGAGCGGAACATCGCAGACATCACGGCTGGAAATCCCACATGCAACGCGGCTGGAAACAAAGCGCTCGGATCGGCGCGCAGAGGAGCGAGATCGGAGGAGGAGAAAAAAAAAAAAAAAGAAGAAGAAGAAATGTTCAGAGAGCGTAAGAGTCCAAGGGCACTACGTGTGGCACACGCCCGACATATCGGAATCTAAGGAGCGGAGCAAGGAGCGCGGATCTTCCTGCTCGTCGTCATCTCCATCGCGGGCCACTTGGCGTCAAATCAAAGTTCCCCGGCTGTCTGGCTCTGGCGTGGGACGTGTTGTCTCCGGGTCCCCTCTGTCTCCTCCTCGGCAGTCTCTCTCTCTCTCTCTCTCTCTCTCTCTCTCTCTCTCTCTCTCTCTCTCTCTCTCTCTCCTCCGCTGCACACAATGCCAGAGAGGAGGAGGAGGAGGGTGAGGGGAGGAGGAGGAGGAGGAGGAGGGTGGGTGAGGAGGGGATGCTGAAGGATGGAGACCTCTAGAGTCTGAAGTTCTCTTACACAGCACGAGCATCGTAGGTGAGCTTCGGTATGAATGGGGGGTTAGATATATATATATATATAGTATAGTATATATATATATTGATGTTGTTTTTATTGTGTGTTTGTTTGAGAATGGAAAAGGATAACACAGGTGAGCGTTTATTATATCATTTACAATAATACACAATGGCCTTATTTTCACAATATACCTGTATTCAACTGTGGCTTCTTCTCGTGGAATCGATGAATTATTAAATTCAGTTCACAGAAAATAAGGTTGCAACTATTTAGATGATTGATTCACCTCTGGATTAATCTCTTAAGTGAAATGGCAAACCATGTCTTTCTTTGCCTCATGTGATTCTAGTGAGCCCACAACCTTTGAATGGCTTTCATGACGGGTCAACGAGTCTCATGTGGTCAAAAGCTCTTCAAAAACAGAAGAAATGAAGAGAAGAAGTAAATAGTGCAGCATATAATAATGCAGCGTAAATGTTTCCACCGTTCTGGATTAAAAACTTGATTAAAACGGTACTAAAACTTACAACATGAATGAATGCATTATCAAATGGTTTTGTTTAAGGGTCTATTAAATTATAAATGAACATGTAGAGATGATCAAACATCACAATCCAATAAATGGATGCTGTAAATCCTGTCCAGATCCATTTGTATGCATTAATGCTAACAGAGACTAACAATGTGTTTTTTTAATCATATTTGTTAGCTGGATGATCTGATTTAACATCAAGGAATAAGATATTATAAATTCAAAAGCATGATATATTAAACACATGATACATTTGCCAGTCTATTTATATGTTGCAGGGTGTCATGACGCATGTCTGCGATCAAAGGCACGTTGGAGCTCTGTTTTCAACCGGAAGGCATCATTTTGCACGCTTACCATTTTGTATTTGTCGGCCAGCTTCTCAATTTTCGGATTATTCCATCAATCGTTTCAAAGCAACCACGCAAAATGCATCCCGCCACTGGCCGGGCGAGATATTTTACAAGCGCATGGTCTAAGTTAGGTAAACAAGCAGCGAGCGGGACGTCTGCTGGCCGATGGGTGCTCTCAGACCTTCAGACAAATCTCCCCCCCCCCCACTCCTCCCTTCCTCCCTCCCTCCCTCCCTCCCTCAGCAACCGACAAACAACAAAAGGATTTTCACTCGCCAGCTCTCTCTCTCTCTGTCTCGCTCTCTCTCACCCTCGAGTGGCCTGCTCTTCAACACCAGCCCTCCTCCATTCCTTTCCGTTCCAATAGCTAGATAGCTTGAGAAAATGTGTCACACACACACACACACACACACACAAACACACACACACACTCCATCTCTCCTTTACTGCTGTTCTCATGGCAAACAGAGAAACACATGTAAGCAGGCAGCAGTTGATGAGACACGGAGGGAGGCAACACATACATGATCACAGACCTCGCAAAAGGAAGATGAGCTAGATTCCGTTCATCGCGACACTCGTCTGCGTTTTCCCCCCCACTGCGTGGCGCTGCGGCCTTTAGCTTTGTGTGTCCAGCCGAACCCGAAAAGGTCACGGCCTCATCGCAACTCATCTCGGCGACGTTGTGCGTTCTCCGAGGCCGGCGGCAACGCGGCGCGGTAAAGTGAGCGACTGTGCTCGGAAAGAAACTGCCTCGCGATCAGCTGTCAAACTATGACGGATGGCCGCTTGTAACGGACACGTTCGCCCCCGAAATCACCGCAGCCCTGCAGGTATCAGAGTTCAGATAAAACGAAAACGCACCTGATTGACTGTATATTACATCCATGTTGCCCCCCCGCCCCAACCCCCCCTCCCCCCTTCTCCAAAAGCAGGCAGCTCTGCATCACGATCACATCTGGATAACAGGGGCCTGCAGCTGTACAACGCACGGAGGTTATCGCTGAAAAGATGACCTCGCTTAACGAACTGCGACCCGACATAAAACAGGGGGCGTAGCCGGCGTTGGGGGTGGGGGGTGGGCGGGGGGGTGATTCTGCCGGCGGCGTGGATAGCGCCACGGGACGAAAGCTGTCTACGTTTGGTGGCTTGGCCTTGGTTGCGTGATATAGCACCCCAATGCAGATGGCCTCGCAGATGGTTGATATTTATACCACGGGGCCTTGAAAAGTCACCGGCGTGGAAAGTGCTCTTCTTCCCCGATTAGTTTCACATCACCAAGAACACAGCGATCCCCACACGCCCGTTTCTCACTGCGCAGCACCAGTTGTAGAATGGTGTGACTTATTAGGAGAAATAGAGGGATTTGGAATAAACATAATTCGCTGTGTGTGGGCAAACCCTTTTTTGAGGCGATGATGTGTCGGGAACCCCCCCCCCCCCTCCTCCCCCCTCCCCGCCCCTTTTCTTTTTATTTCAGCGCATGAAAACGTAATCCGCCTAAGTGCAAGCTCCATGATTTTTTTAAAAATCTCCCACACCGAACACCTTCGCTGCGACTTGACTTACGTATTTTAAGTGGATTTGCCATTTTAAAATTTGAGCAACGAGACGCTCCTCAAGACCTCCTGGCAGAGATGGGGAGCGTTCCCCCCTCTGACCTCCACAGCTGTATCCCCCCCCTCATCATGGCATCCCAGGGACGTGTTCGCGTTATGTCGACGCACAGGGACGACCCCCCCCCCCCCACTGCAAACACACGTGAGCACGCCGGGATGCCCGAGTTCGGCCCTGACTCTCCCCTGACCTCGGGGGATGAGAGAAAGTGGATAGTTAAAAGGGTTCTTGAGTAACAATATGGAAGTGGAAAAAAAGAAAAACTCTTTTGTTTTGTCCTCTCTATTTTTAGCCGGCGCTGTGACGCTTCAGCCCTGGTGTTTCACGGCTCGCAGATCCCTTATAATTTAATGAGGGACGGGGTCGGCCCCGTTGGAGATTTATGGCGAGCGTCTCAAGGCGGCGTTGGCCACTCGGCTTATTGATCCGAATCTGATGTTTGTTTATGGGTCAGTAAAGCGCTTTCCCTCCGGTGCCGTGCGAGCCCACCATTGGGACATTTAAATTGTCAGCTCATTCCAAAGCCAATAAAAGAAATGGATTCCTGGTCACTGTTCATTATTTTAGTCCCTCTTCAAACATAAATAGCCAATCTTGACAGGCAGTCCGAGACGTGTCGAGCGGCCCGCTGGTACCTCTGCAAAATGTTTTTCTGTTTCACAGAGGCCTTTTTCGACAGGAGGAATCCGGTTCATCCTCCAAGCAACCGCACGCCACATTCTGCTTTATTGCATCTAACATACGTACATGTAACCCGCGACGAAAGGTGCCAGACTCTTTCCCATCATGCCCTGCGAGCGCAGCGCTCGTCTCCTCGTACTGCGAAGCCCCGGGGGGGGGATTCAATAGTGGATGTTTCTCCTCCATTTATTTATGAGCCTTTCGCGGGAAACATGAGGCCGAGAAGGATAGAGTTTAAAAACACATTAGCGTGCGCTCTAATTAAAGGGCGAGGGAGGCGAGTGCATCAAATCCAGAGGCCCGGCAGTTTAACTTTACATCTGTTAGTCTGCGGTGAATAGGTAAACGAGTCGGCTGGATGGGGGGGATGATCGAGTGGATGAATTCATCAACCAGAGCCGGTGAAACGGCCGAAGAAACCAAGCGCGCAGGATGGCGCGATTGGGAAGGGCGAAATGAGATCGTTGTGTATTTTAGATTGCCCCACTCTGTCTTTAGGAAAAGTAATGATGCTGAATTGGCGCTTGCACCTGTTGAGGATAAACAGATCGATCACGTTCGAATAACATTTCCTCCACATTGTTTGCGGCATTAGAATTTGTTTTCCTCAAGACTGGCAATTTACACACCAGTAGTTCGCTGGAAAATGCGGTGGCGCGTCCTTCTAGTACACGAAAAGTCCAATACGCTTTTAATTAGAGGAGGTTGTTTGCGATGTTTACACATGGATTGCCATTCCTGAATGACCACCACTATAGCTATATATATATAACCGGCGAACTACAATAAATATAATAACAATTATTTTTTTTTACTCGATATAGAAAGAATTAGCCACAGTTTTCAAAATAAAATCATTTAAAAAATGAAAATGATAAAAAAATGATTCTGAAGAATTAAGCTAATTTCAGTAAAGCAAACTAATTGTGCATTATTGCGATTAAATACTGATGGCAAAGCAAAGATAAGACCTCAAAACCACCTTCCATGCTCTTTTGAAGCCTCACCATTCCATTGCCATTTTTGACACATACGTGAATGAAAAATAGCGGCGGTTGTATAACTCGACCCGTCCGACCACAGTTAATTGACGTTTGTAAAATGAGAAAACAATCTTTCTGCTCATTACCGGGACATCCGAGTAGCCTTCGTGGAGAGCTCAGGAAACCACATTGAACCAAACAAATTAGCTGATTAGCCTCACATTTAAACCCAAATTGAATGCTTTCTCTGCCATCGATCGCGGGCGCCTCTTCAGGTTTATTGACGCAGGACGGAGAGCGGGCGGCCGTCTTTGTTTTGAGAACAAACAAGGCCTCCTTGATTGGGGACTAAGCGGAGGTGGGTGGAGGTGTGTGTGGGGGAGGCGGGGGTTGATGGTGCCGTTTCGACTTGACCGATTTTGAGATCCACCCTCGCTCTTCTCTACCACCACTCCTGCTTTCACCACTTCCCGCTCCCTGATGAAGTGGTCTCCACACTGGTCATTCGGGGAATGAGTGATGGGAGCCATGTGGTGGTAAATCAGCAGATGCTTTACATCATATACTGCCAGGTGGGGGTGTAGCTCTGGCTCATCCATCTTCCACAAATGTCACTTCATCACTTGAGGAAATGACCAAGATGTTGATATACACTTTGACCGAAGCCTCTTGAGGGTTTGAA